TTTATCTTATTTTCTTGGCAAAGAGAAAGGTAAGGTATATGAAATAGAATTTTGGTAATCTTACTATTCTTCAATTTCTTTATAAATTGCAAGTCTATATATATTATATATATATATGTATATATATATATGAATAAATGTTAAGTACAGTCAGAGTTACATTAACCATTGAATAAAGTGAGAAAATACATTACACAAGGAAGATAAAAGGAGGTCAGAAAGATGAAAAATGAAACATTTGTTAGTGAACTTGTGGTGGCAGCTTGATTTAAGGTTTGCCAAAAAAAAATTAAAACTTTATTGTGGTCTTTAATTGTTGAACAGAGTACTTTTTTTAATTACACAATTAAAAAAATTTATTTTTAATCCTTTAAGATTTTTTTTTTTGACCTGTTCTCATTCTTTTGTTAATTAAGTGTTGATGTGAATCCTTAACTTTAAAAAATTTCATTTTTTTATATGAAAATTTTGAGTAAATTAAAAATTATTATATTTTTAAATAAATAATTAGGTGAAAATTTTAAAAGGATTAATTTAATTTAATTATTTAAATTCTACGTCAATATTAGTGTGTGTTAATAAGGAAGTCCCATCTTCTCTAGCTTCTAACGTTTCAAAAAGATGCCGTCAGCCATGAAATGGACGGAGGGACGAAATTGAGCACTTTTCGAAAAGTAGAGGGAGAAGGGCGATTTCATTATAAAAAGGTTAAATTGAACTTTGTTCCATAATAAAGTGTTAATAGTTGGCTTTAACCCGTATAAATATTTAATTCTCGTGACTCACTGACCCACATGATAAATACAAAAAATAAATAAATAAATAAATAAAGAAAAAAATATTAACATTTCTAATAATAATTATTTGATAAATTTAATAAAATTAAAATTTATATTATATTTTATATATTTAATAATTATAATTAAATATTTTAATATTTTTAATAATAAAATATCATAAATTTTCATTTTTTCATGAATAAATAAATAATTCAGTGTTAAAAAGATAAGCATAAATGTCTAATTCTCACAAGAGAACACTAAATGATCAATAATTTCTACATATTTTCCATAAAATCAATCATAGCATAAAGACCATACTTTCCACGATTCCTCACAGGAAAACAGGAAATGATCAGCAATAAATTTTTTTTTAATCCTTTAAGATTATTTTTTGACCTTTCCTCTTTCTTTTGTTAATTAAGTGTTGACATGAATTCTTAACTTTTAAAAAATTTTATTTTTTTATTAAAAAATTATGTAGAAATTTTGAGTGAATTAAA